GAGAAGAGAGAGAGAGAGAGAGAGAGAGAGAGAGAACAGAGAGAGAGAGAGAGAGAGAGAGAGAGAGAGAGAGAGAGAGAGAGAGAGAGAGAGAGAGAGAGACAGAGAGAGCCAAATAGAAGAGAAAAGAGCCAGAGAAACGCAAGAGACAGAAAAAAAGCCGAGAGAGAACCGACCCTGCGCGCATTCCCCCTTCCCTCCCAGCCAAAGACCCGTCAACACGCGGCCAATCAAGATTCAACCGAAACAAAACAAAGGCGCCAGAACTGAGACACAAACGAGCCCCCGACGCAATCGAAGGAAAGGAAAGCCTCGACAATGAACCATAAACAAAACAAGGCATAAACAACACGAGAGAGAGAGAGAGAGAGAGAGAGAGAGAGAGAGAGAGAGAGAGAGAGAGAGAGAGAGAGAGAGAGAGAGAGAGAGAGAGAGAGAGAGAGAGAGAGAGAGAGAGAGAGAGAGAGAGAACAAGACCGTAATCAGGGGAAAAAAATCATAAAGGACAAAATCATACCTCGAGACATCCTAAAAGAAAAAAAATCCTATGAACTAAAAAAAAAAAAAAAAAAAAAAAAAAAAAAATCCTATGAACTTAAAAAAAAGCAATCACATCACCACCACCAACAAGGAACCAACACGCACCACCAACAATCTAACCCCCCAAACCCCCTCCAACCCCCACCCAACCCAAGAGCCCCAGTGTCCCCCAGTGTCCCCCAGGGTCCCCAGCAACACCCAGGGCGCCTCGACCTACCTGCCACACGCCGACGATGGCGTTAGCGATCAGGATGAGAAGGATGACGAAGGGCTCCACGAAGGCCGTCACGGTCTCTTCGCCCTCCTCGAAGCAAGCCAACACCTGAGGGGAGAAGAGAGGGGAGGTGAGCGAGGGGAGGCGAGGACGAGTCCCACGTGGCTGCGCGGCCGAGCGACGTCAACCTCGTGAGACAACGACAATTAGGTGTGTGCTTGCAGGTGCTTTTATACTTGTATTTGTGTGTATACATACGTATGCATGGATGTATGTATAATGTGTGTAAGTATGTATGTATATGTGTATGTATGTGTGTATGTATAAATGTATGTATGTATGTGTGCACGAATGTGTATAAATTTACACACACATACAAAATAATAGTGAATAACAATATTAATGATAATAATAGTAAAAATTATTATATCTATGATAATGATGATAATAATAATAATAATAACAATAATAACCATAATAATTATAATAATTATTATAATAATAATCATAATAATAACAATAATAATAATACTAACCAAACAATAATAATAACAATAATAATAATAATAACAAAACAATAATAATAACAATAATGATAATTAGAAAAATAATAAAATAATAATAATAACAATAATAATAATAAAACAATGATAACAATGATACTACTACTACTACTACTACTACTACTAATAATTAATAATAAAATAACAATAACAATAATAATGATAACGATGACGATGATGATAATGATGATGATAATGATGATGATAATAACAATAAAAACAACATGAATAACAACATGATCACAAACAACAACCAAATCGCGCCGATAGCCTCTCGCCGCGCCAACGAGTTCTCTCCGAACATGGAAGTGACACAGCGCCAGTGGCAGAGGCGGCATGACACGAGCAAAAACGAGCGCGTGACACGGCAAAACGGGACGACACAAAAGCGAGATAAAGAAAAAAAAGGGGGAGAGGGGAGGAGATAACGAATATCTAATGAGGACTTTAAGAAGAGAGAGAAAAAAAAAGATATATAACAAGTCGTCACTACTTTTGATTTACGGAAAAAGAAGAAGAAGAAGAAGAAGAAGAAGAAGAAGACATGAAGAAAAAGAACAAGAGTAAGGAGGAAAAAGAAGAGGAATAGGAAAAAACAGGAAGAAGACGAAAGCAGCAGCAGAAGAAGAAAGGAAGAGGAAAAAGAGAAGAAGAAAAAAGGAAATGGAGAGGCAGAAGGAGGAGAAGAAGACACCGAACAACCAGTTGGAGGAGGAGGAAAAGAAGAAGAAGAAGAAGAAGAAGAGAAGAAGGAGGAAGAGAGAAGGAGAAACCAAATTAGAAAAAGAAAAAGGCAAAAGAAAAGAAAAGAAAAAAGTCGCTCTTTCTCCCCCCTCCCCCCCTCCTCTTGAGCCAATTCCTCGCCGAATGATCTGTCGCGTCTTCGATTCCTCGTCCCGCCCCCGCGCCCACTCCGCGAAGACCCGGCCTTTCTCCCTTTTCTCCTTTTTCGTCGTCTTCTTCCTTCTACGTCGACGCCGTCGTCTTCCTCCTTCCTTCTTCATTTTTTCTTCTTCTGGTTCTTCTTCGGTGTCTGTTTCTTCTTCTTCTTCTGGTCTTCCTTCAACTTTTTCTTTTTGCCATTTTTTCTTCCGTTTCTTCTTCTTCTTCTTCTTCTCCTTCTTCTTCTTTTTCTTCTCCTTCTTCTGGTCTTCTTCAGCTTCTTTATCTGTTATTTTTTCTTCCGCTTCTTCTTTTTCTTTTTTTTCTCCTCCTTCTCCTTTTCTTCCTCTTCCTCCTCCTCCTTCTCCTCCCTCCTTCCAAATGCATAAACAAATAAACAAAAAGAATAAACAGTAAATACATAGAGAATTTTGGTTGAGACGCACGACACGTCTTCCGGTCGTGTTTGTCACTGTCTTTTGTTGTGGCCGTCGTTGTTGTTGTTGTCATCGAGGTTGTTACTGTTCTTGTTGATCTCGCAGAACGTCGTTGTCAGCAATGGTAATCATAACAATAACAAAAATAATGACAGCGATTATAAAAAAATAATAATAATAATAATCATGATAATAATATCAGAAATGGTAATCATAACAATAACAATAATAACGACAGCGATTATAAAAAAAATAATGATGATGATAATAATAATATACAAGTCTTCGACGAGCGAATGCTGCCGCTATCGGCCCTCAAAGCAAGTGCTCTCGGCTGTGGCTATGATGATAAACTACTGTGACCGACCGACCGACCGACCGACCGACAATCCAACCGACTACCGAAACTGTTTATCAACTATATTACGTCCTTCTATTCATGTATTTATTAATTATGTGTACGTATTTATTAATCATTACATGTTTTTACATTCATTATTACATGTATGTAATCATTACCTATCAACTATGTACTTATCAACTCCACTCTATTGCGTGCGTACATGTATGTATGTATCAACCAATATGTGTACATATTTATTAATTTCTAAACTATCCTTATTACGCACCTACATATATATATCTGTTAATCATCATATGTATATATATTTATTTCTCAACCTCTTCATTATGTATCCATGTGTCTGCATTCCTATAACGTACGTAAGTGTATGGAAGCCGATCATCGTATCTCCCAGGGGCACTTTCGCCGCGTGATGCCGTTATCGCTATTTCGTAATGGCGTCCCGAGACATTCGATAAGCATCAATCTGTTTACGGTCAAGATGACGACCTTATTCCCTCAAGACGTCGAGATAAGTCGTTTATACTAATCGGGGTATCGTGTTTGGATGGGCTTTCGGGACGATCATTCTTCTTCTTCTTTTCTTTTTCTTTCTCTCTTCTCTCTCTCTCTCTCTCTCTCTCTCTCTCTCTCTCTCTCTCTCTCTCTCTCTCTCTCTCTCTCTCTCTTTCTTCACACCCCATCCGCCTCCGTTACTCAGTCCTCACGACAAACAAAATTAAGAAAAAAAAATAAACAAACAAAACGAAAATAAAACCAGACGCATCGACGCAAAGACCGATTAATCCCCAGCAGATCGACGCATTGACAGACACCCAGACAGACAAACCGACAGACAAATGACCGGAGAACACGACCCCCGCGCAGCCAGAGAGACCGACTCGGCCGTTTCGATCGTCGGTCCAAAGTGCGGATGTCTCTATCCGCGCGGGAGAGATTACCCCCCCCCTTTCCTTCCCACTCCCTCTACCTCCCCTCCCTCTTTCCCTTCCCCCCCTCCCCTCCTTTACCCTCCCTCACCCCCCTTCCCTTCCCCACTCCCCTCTACCCTCCCTCACCCTCCCTCCTTCCCCCCTCCCTTCCCACACAACCCACCCCCATCCCGCCCTCACCCCCTCCCCCCCACTCCCTCAACCCCACCCCCCCCGTGGCACCATAATAGTGGCAGGCTCGGAGATACGTAAATTATTTTTCCGGTCACGTGATCAGAAACGAAATTCTGGTGCGCGTATGTTGTGCGTGTGTGCGTGCGTGTGTGTGAGAGTGAGCGAGGGGGTGAGAGTGTTTGTGTGAACATGAATATGAGAGTGAGCTTGAGTTTGCGTGTGTTTTTGCGAGTGTCTGAATGACTGAGTGTGCGTGCGCGTGTGTGTGCTTTTGAAAACCGAAAAAAAAATCCAACGACCATCAAGCATTCACGCTGACGTCTCCCCCTCCCCCTCCCCCCCTAGACATCACCATGCAAGCGGGAGCATCAACGAGCGTGCAACAAGCATGTGCGTGCAATCAAAATCGCGTGCACAAAGGCCGACTCGAATTGCAAACGGACGCCTCGCAAGCCCCGCTGTTGGGCGTGCATTATACAGGTTCCGAAAAGGGAGAGTGGGGGGTGAGGCTGGGGGGGGGGGGGGGGGAAGGGTTTAAGGGCGACAGGAGAAGGAAAGGGGGGGGTGGGGAGTAGGGAGAGAGAGGAAAGGATAGGGAGAAAGGGAGAAGGAGAGGAGAAAGGGAGTGAGGGAAGGAGGAAGAGAGAGAGAGAAAGGGACAGACGAGAGGGAGAGAGAGAGAGAGAGAGAAAGAGAGAGAGAGAGAGAGAGAGAGAGAGAGAGAGAGAGAGAGAGAGAGAGAGAGAGAGAGAGAGAGAGAGAGAGAGAGAGAGAGAGAGAGAGAGAGAGAGAGAGAGAGCGAGAGAGAGAAAGCGAGAGATATAACTGAACGGTACCCCCCCTCCCCCGGTCCACGCATCCCGCCAGCTGATAAGAGAGCGAGCGAATTGCGTGAGCCCCCCCCCCCCCCCCGCCGAAGAAAGATAAAACCTTGGGCGGGCGAGGAGAGAGAGAGGATGCAGGGGGCTCACGTAGATCGCCGTCCTTCTATTCAACTCCAGTTAAGCTTCGTGAACTCCCTTCCAACTCCAGATTCGTTTCATAAACTCCAGCTGAACCTCAGTCAGGTTTCGTGAACTCCTACTGAACTCCAGCTCCGTTTCATAAACTCCTACTGAACTCCATTTAAGTTTCGTGAACTCTCGTGAACTCTCGTGAACTCCAAGCTTGGTCTCGTGGGCTCCAACTGAACTCCACTTCAGTTTCGTCAACTCCAGCTTGGCTTCGTGAACTCCTATTGAACGCTGGCTTCGTGTTCCTGCACCGAACTCGCGTTGTGTTCTCGTTCCTTCGGAGTTCCAACCTGGTTTCGTGTGTCGCCCCTCGCGGCCTTACTTAACACACAGTCAGTCAGTCAGTGTTTACGGCTCCCCATCCGGCGGAGATATTCTGGTCTATTTTTAATACGAGTTTTTTTTTTTTATATATCTGTAACATTTTTTTTTTTTTACTCATGAGATACGGCGATCGAACTCAAAACCAACGCCAACCTCTGCACCTATCTCTACCCCTGCCCTTGCCCCTACTAATGCCCCTGCCAATGCCCCTGCCAATGCCTGCCCCTTACCCTACTCCTACCCTCTCCTCTCCCCCGACACCCTACCCCAGCTGCCTAACCGCTCAGACTCCTAATTCTGATCAACATTTGGATAGTCAAGGTTGCTATAGTGTTGGGATCAGGTGGAGGGGAGGAAGGTGGAGGAGGAGGAGGAGGAGGAGGAGGAGGAGGAGGAGGAAGGAGGAGGAGGAGGAGGAG